TAGGGGCAGGGGCTGTCTGGGAAAAGGCAGACCAGAAAGGAGAGTATTCCACACCGGGGCCCTGTGTGCGTGGGCGCCAGGCCTCACCCTCGGCGTTTCCTCCCGAGGACAGAGAGCACGGGGGGACGAGACCAATGCACAGACTTGATTTACCCTAGCAGACTTTATTTACTCTTCCTTCTCTGGACGTCATACATCAGGCTCTGCTGTTTCACAGCTGCTGACTCACTTTATAATCACCACGGGCAACGCAACTGTGGAGGCTAAGCATCTGTAATTTCCCTTTCTGTCTGAGAATTAAGAGAACTGAGACCACTTTAAGAAAACTCACTATATTCCTCATTTGCCAGTTTCAGAAAGTCTGAAATGTCGCCGCTGAAAGTTTCCATTTTGGAAAGGAATTTACTCTCCCTGCTGCAGAAAGCCCCTCACTGTATTCGTCAGTACACACACCAGACGACAAGATCCTATCAGGAAAGCTGCTATTTCTGGTTTCCTGATTATTAGACTTGTGAACTTAAAATAATGTTCTTCCAAACACGACGCGCCGTGCACCAAGTCAAACCTCAGACGAGGACAGTGTTTCTCCACCTGATCACCCTCCTGGGAAGGCGGGCTCAGATTTTAACTGGTGGATCACACAGGGAGAGCGCAGACAGTGACCAGCCGCCCTCTCGTTTAGGGCACTCTGTCTTCCTCTCCCAGGTGAAAGCAAACAAAGCCAAGCCGAAGACGAATGTCTCGTGCCAACCCACCCACAAACACGATCACAGAGTTCACTCTTCAGGCAGAAAATATCGACAGATTTAAGCAGCCAAACAAATTCTTGCCACGTTCCAGCTGGACAGAAACAGGGCGGCCAGGCCCCACTGCCCTGAGCAGCGGTGTCCCTCCTGCGCCGAGCTGTCACTTTCTGGCAAGTTCCAGCACCTTCCGCACCATGGCCCCGATCCCGTCGTGGATGTGGTGGAGCGCAGTCTCACACATGAAGGCGGGGGTCGTGACCACCTTGTTTTTCTGGTCCACGTGCACTTCGTGGGTAGAAGTTATGGAAAAACTGTTCCCAACAAGGACCAGAGGGAAATCTAGCTGCAGAGCACTAAG